GGTACCACTGATATATATATCAATCACAAAAACAGAATCCACATTTGGGCATCTTTCACATGGGCACCCAGGGGGTGGTTAAAAAAAATGGCATTTGAGCTGTGAGTTTACCATTCCCCTGATCGCCCACCTAATACCTACCATACCGCTGGAGGGTTATTTTCACATTTATTGCGGCATGTCAGTGACAGCTGGCACCGCCTGTCAAACTCGCCATTAATTTCATTAAGGCCACACTTGACTCGCTGTTGCAGCACATAAGTCCCACTGATAATTGTTTTGTAAAAAAAATAAAGAAATGCAAAAAATGGGCATTCAGGAGATGGCAGGATCACCTCCTGAACCCCTTACAGCATCTGCTTTGACGCACTCTGGAAAGCAATCCACTGTAGATTGCTTTACAGAATATCAAAAAGTGTGAACTTAGCCTTAGATCATATGCCTGCATGGTGTTAAGATCATGTGCCCATTTCACCTCCAGATGTTTAAGTAATAACTCCTGATCTCCCCCTCTTCTGGGCACTGGTATAAAATCATCTACTATATATTTCATCTGCGATATACTATTTCCCAATGATTTCCTGACTTTGCTTTCTATACATGTAATCAGTTGTATAGACGTTAATCCTGCTAAAGAAAAAAATATAAATGCACATATTTTTTAGCGGCAAAAAAAGTTGCATTTAATATTTTTTGTTGAAGGTGAATGTATCCTTTAAACTACACCCGATTTTGGTTTTCTTTCTAAAATACTCGTGGTGAAAGTTACAATTTTGTGTCTAGACCAATCGACTAAGAGTTCTACTGTACCCATCAATCTTCACCAGCCTTTCAAGGTGAGTGAGCTGGAAAGACTTTTTGAACTTGTCTTTAGATACTTGCCAACACTTCAAAGCCACATATTCAATGAAATTCAAGTCAGCGAAGCAAAGCATATAAGAGTTCACCATGAGTGGTTTTGGATAGTTCAGTGATTCCATATTTAGCAAACTACATTGTATTTAAATAAATTGAAGGTCATTGTTTGCCAGCTTTTAGGCTTTGCCAAAATGGTTCACGGTGTATTATTTTATTTATTAATGAAATGCTTAAAAGTCCATTTCATTTTGCTGAAAAGTCTACAGTTCACCCTTTCTAGGTGCAGCTAGTTTAATTATACTCCCAGTATAGTAACTGAAATACTACGGCAGATGACACAAGCCTGCCAAATACCACATATGTACAATATTGGGAAACTAGTTTTAGGAGGTATACACAGATGGAAACAGAAGCAAACAGAAAAAGAGTGTACAGTATAAATAAAGTAGAATCTCTCATTATGCAATTTGTAAAGGGATGTCCAGGTCTGAGATTTAACAGGAACATCAAATGATAAACGGCACAAGGCTTTGTTTATACAGATGGCGACAGCCAACAAGAGAAAGCTGTCACAATGCTTAGTGCTGCACCTAGAACTGACATGTATGTGTGACTGTTTTCTCATCCCGTCATAGATATTTATTCTGCCACCCAGTGTAGCTCTAAACTGACCAAAGATTTAAGGCTGCATTCACACTTGAGCTAAGTATCATTGGTCATTTTGACTTTTTCTGTATGTTTTGTTGGTATTTTTATATTTTAACCAATAGAAAGCTATTTACTGGTACCTTTTTCACCGGCTTTTTTGAGTTTAGGCAAGGACACAGGGGCCCCGTGATCCCCTATTGCCCGGGGGCCCCATGAGTTGTCAGTCCGCCCCTGCTAACAGTTGATCAACTGATCAGCCTGCCTGTCAGATTTTACTATTATAGCCGCAAGGAATAATCACTGTGTTCTCCATGCGCTTATTCCTAGCAACTATAATAGCCACTAGCAGAAATCACTGTGTTCTCCCGGAGGGGATGGCTCCCCAATGATTCTGTGAGGGATTCCCCCATTAACACAATCAGTTTTTGTTGGCTTAAGGCAAGCCATGGATGATTCAATTTTCTTTTCTGCAACCAGGGGTTGCTGAAAAATGTCAGTGTTGATGAGGGAATCCTTCCCTCAGAGGAATTGTGTTCTGCCGGCATGGAGCCAGCAGTATTCACATGTACAAAAAAAATCCGATAGACTGGTGGTACCCAAATTGATCAACTGACCGATCAACTTGGGTACAATTAACCTTCCCATAGATGGATCAAATCTGGGCCTGTCCCTGCTGAACCAACCAAGATTCAATCCATCTATCACCAGCTTAATGTCAGCATCAGGGCCAGTGGCTGCTCGCTGTACATAGTAGTTATATTACGCAACAATTTCTGTAATGAACTTTCACATCATCCCATCACCATCCCATGTCTACTGCATCTAAACTCCGGACACTGAAAAGCGCACTGTAACAGTCATTTAAAAGCATGGTTGTTTAATTTTCTCCTCCAGCATGGTCTCAGCAGATGTTGAATCTTGTTTTATTTTCAGTACTACAACAACTGTAAAAATAGTAAGTCAGCTGTCATTATGAGGTTAAGGCGTGTTTTACAGTTGTGGCCAAAATTATTCAACCCCCACTGAAATTGAGTGTTTTGGCCAGTTTGACATTGCTTTTGATCATTCAGTCATCTTGCTTACATTTACATTAAAGAGGCACTTGTAGGTCAGACAAATATAACATAACAGTTATAATGAAATAACCACAAATGTCTTTTCTGTGCTCACAGCATTATCAGTTTTATTCAACCCCCAAGTGACATTCAATCTTAGTACTTAGTACAGCATCCTTTTACAGTTATAACAGCTTTTAAACGTGAAGCATAGCTTGACACAAGTGTCTTGCAGCGATCTACGGGTATCTTCGCCCATTCTTCATGGGCAAAGGCCTCCAGTTCAGTCACATTCTTAGGCTTGCGCACTGCAACTGCTTTCTTTAAGTCCCACCAGAGGTTCTCATCGGATTTAAGTCTGGTGACTGCGATGGCCACTCCAAAATGTTCCAGCCTTTCCTCTGCAACCATGCTCTAGTGGACTTGGAGGTATGCTTGGGGATCATTGTCCTGTTGAAAGGTCCAACGTCTCCCAAGCCTCAGGTGTGTGACGGACTGCATCACGTTTCCATCCAATATCTCCTGGTACTGAAGAGAAATTCATGGTACCTTGCACACGCTGAAGCTTCCCTGTACCTGCAGAAGCAAAACAGCCCCAAAGCATGATTGACCCTCCACAATGCTTCACAGTAGGCAAGGTGTTCTTTTCATCATAGGCCTTGTTCTTCCTCCTCCAAACATAGCGTTGATCCATGGGCCCAAACAGTTCTAATTTTGTTTCATCAGTCCACAGAACACTATCCCACAACTTTTGTGGTTTGTCCACATGGCTTTTGGGCATACTGCAGTCGACTCTTCTTAATTCTTTGGAGACAGCAAGGGGGTACGCCTGGGAGTTCTGGCACGGAGGCCTTCATTACGCAGTGTGCGTCTTATTGTCTGGGCTGAAACTTCTGTACCCACATCTGACAAAATCTTTTCTCAGTTCCTCAGCAGTCACACGGGGACTTCTCTCCACTCTACGCTTCAGGTAGCGCACAGCAGTCGAAGTCAGCATCTTCTTTCTGCCACGACCAGGTAGCGTTTCAACAGTGCCCTTTGCCTTGAATTTGCGAATGATGCTTCCTAAGGTGTCTCTTGGTATGTTTAACATCTTTGCAATCTTCTTATAGCCATTGCCCTTCCTGTGAAGAGAAATCACCTCTTCTCTTGTCTTCCTGGACCAATTCTCTTGCCTTCACCATGTTTGTAACCACACCAGTAAATGTCTAGAAGGAGCTGAGTATCACAGTCATTTTAAAGCTGCCTAATTGGTGCTTATTATGCTTGATTGCTGCTCGGTGACATCCACAGGTGTTTTCAATACCTGATGGAAAGCACCTGTATGAACCTCTGTTCTTCAGAGTGGTAGTCTTTAAGGGGTTGAATAATTGTGGCAATGAAGAAACCACATAAGAACCATTTACTACTGTATTACATAAACAATTGATGTCATTTTAGTTGCATTTGGGTAGTTACAACGTCCTTGTAGGATTTGATTCTGAATACAATTCCAAATGTACACTATAGTCCCTAAACCCCCTTTACAGCATTGGGGGGTTGAATAATTTTGGCCACAACTGTATGTTTGCTTTTATATTTACTCTGGGTGCACTTTATCTAGCCATCAGTTCTTTGTTTGCATAGCAACATTAAGCACAGACAAAACAATTTGTTGTTTAGCTTGGATAAGCAAACGTTTGACTGTAATAGGGGATCCTAATGCGAAACACTATTGCAGAGATTTTGTGCTCACCTCAACATTATTTTCCAGCTTCTTATTAAAGTATATCTTGTTGTCTCCCAAGCCCCACTCTATAGAACCCATGGTTTTCATACAATGCACTGATGACGGCCAAAAAAAGCAAGAAACAGTTGTACGCAGTTTGCAAAAATTACACTGTAATATTAGGATATATTTGCACTGTACCAGCAGTTCTGGATGTGCATCTGGCAGATATTAAAGGAATTTGCATGACTCTGCCCACTGTCCTGAAATGACAAATAATCTTCTAATTTACGGAATAAAACGTGAATACCTTCTGCTCTAAAACCTGGCCATAACTATGTAGTTTTCTTTTTTATCATTCAGCCTCCATCCACACACAAATGGGGGACACTGTATTGTGACAGTGCTGTCAGAGTACACTGACTGGCTGCAACCACTGATCAATAAAAGTTTCCAAACTTGTCTATTCTACAGACGTCGATCTAACAATCAACTTCTGTCGAATAGGTATGCTCATACGTTGATGCAGCTGAATTTCAATCTGTCGGTTCAGCTAGGTTCATATCTCTGCGGGTGATTGCCACTGCAGGGCTGCACCTGTTCCCACAGCCGCAACCACCCGCATGGAAAAATGCAGGAGATGTGTACGGGTGCATTAATCCTAATGGCACACCGCACACACTGGAAATTGCTCCCACACTGGGAACTGCACTGCACTTGCAGTTCCAGTGCAGACTGCGACTCCAAAAATGGTGCATAAGTGTATAAACAACACAGATCTCTCCCCTGTCAGCTCCTGCACACTTTGTATAGCTCTGCATAGCAGAGCCATACAAAGCAGTGTGCTTACAGTGAAACACAGCACACAGCCTCATAGTAAAACAGCACACAGTTAACCCTTTAATCGCCCCTCATGTTAACCCCTTCCTGCCTAGTGCCATTAGTACAGTGTCAGTGCTTTTTATTAGCACTGATCACTGTACTGGTGTCACTGGAGATGTCAGTGACACCAAGTCAGTTCCCCCCAGTGTCAGAATGCCTGCCACAGTCCTGCTATAAGTCGCTGATCACCGCCTTTACTAGCAAAAAAATAAAAAATTCCAGTATATATATACCACCATTTGTAAATGCTATAACTTTCATGTAAACCAATTAATTTACACATATTGGGATTTTTTTTAGCAAAGACATGTAGCAGAATGCATTTTGGCCTATATTTATGATGAAATTTGTTTCTTTTTCAAATTTTTTTACTGGACATGTTTAATACCAAAAAGTCAAAAATAATCAAATACCACCAAAATACAGCTCTATTTGTGGGAAAAAAAGAACCTAAATTTCATTTGGGTGCAGCGTTTCATGACCACGTAATTGTCAGTTAAAGTAACGAAGCGCAGTATCACAAAAAACAGCCTGGCGAGGAAGGGGGGTAAATCCTCTGGAGGGCAAGTGGTTGAACAGTTAAGCGCAGTTTCTCAGCAACAAAATTTGATTAACTGCTTGAAAAAAAATGACCAAATATCGAAAAAAAAACTACTTTGCCATTAGAAGACATGGTCACCATTGGGTAGGAGATACAGAAATGACTTTTTTTATACAAATTTTCACAAAATGTCTTCAATATTATTCCCCAGACATCTGAAGAAGCAAAAGTCCATAAACAAAGGTATGAAATGGCCTATCTTGCTATAGCTTTACTGCAGGACATAGTTGGGTTTAAAGGAGCCAGGGTCAATATTTACCTCTCAGGGCTTTTACATTCTTCCGAATATAACTGCCCCTGAATACATACAACTTTAGTTTGACATCGCAGAAAAAGGTACAGAACAGAGAGGTTATGTCTTTTTACTATACAAGGTACTTTGTTCTTGTATGCAAGAGGTTCCTACTATTTACATACGTACAAGTGGAAGAAGAATCCTTTAGGCCATTTCAAATAAGAACATGTTTGGGGTCTAATTATTGTTATTTTCACACAAGATTCACTGATTTTTCTAATGGAATCTTATGTGAAAGTTGTGTGATAACTAGATTCGTTAATGTGTAAGAACATCTGCAAGTGATGCTGCAATGTGCTGCGCAAATAAAAAGCAATCTCCAGGAGTGACTTCACTGAAGCTATACTTTTCCTTGTAACAAATTACTACATGGTAACAACACTCCATACACAATTGATGTGATCCGATGTTCTAAGTGAAGCATTATCTCATACATTTGAAAGAAATCCTCATACAAAAAAAGTCATACTCACACAAAAACACATACACACTTTTTTTTTACTTTACCTTTTCTGCTGCGCCTCTGACACCCCAAAATTTCAGACTTATCCTCAGCCTTTTTACTGCTTATGGAAAGGTCTTCATCACTTTTAAATATCTTCTTGGTTTTTCGAGACAAGGAAGAGAAGTTGATCCAACTCACAGGTCGAGAGAAAGGACCATGAGAGTTTCTCTTGATCCTAAAGCTTCCAGAATTGGACTCCTTTCTCATTTTGTCTAATAGTTGGTTGACACTTAGAAATTATACTGATATTCTTAACCATCAAGTGATCATTGTCTTCCTAAGAAACATATGATGAGTCAAAATCATGTGAAAACCTAAACACTACTGTCTGTAGCAGTATACCAAGAATCATCTCAAAGTCTCGTCACACTAGCAATCTTCAATAGCAAGGAGCAGACTAACAATCCGAGTTGTGTTATACATCCAAACAACTTCAGCAAAAATGTTGATTTATCAATGGTCTCCACCAGCCTCTCAAAAGGTAAAAAGCATACAAATCCATCATGCTGAGAGGATAAGTCTTGAAAATGTTCAGTGGTGGAATCAATGTATATTGCGACTCATAGATTGTGAAAGGTGAGCAGTGATTTGGCATCTCCAGTTTACAAGAAACACTTCGGGCAGGTAGACATAGTGTACACTATAAATATAGCCTGAGCTGCTGGAGCTGATAGCACCGTGCTTCCTCTAGTGTGTCCTCTAGTGTGAAGTGAGCTGAGTGATCTCCCCACTGGGACTGTCAGTACATGGAGCAGGACACTCCCTGTTTAGTCCCAAAGCACAACACTAACAGCAGCCTGTGTCTTTCAAAATGCACTGCACATGCAAGATCACAAGCCTGGCACCAACACTTTTACATGCCTGCAGAGTGTTTAAAAAGCAACATTTGATCAGCATTCTTGTTACATTAGTCACTCTAGTGTCAAAATGTATACTAAAGGCCATCATTCACTTATATCCTACTGCTAATATTACTCTCTCAGTAAGCCTAGATGGTGGCAAATGATTTGAAAGTGTGAGTGGCCAGAAATATCTTAATCCTTGTAAGCAATACATCTAATTTCAGTGTTACTAGAACAATTAGGAAAGTATCAGTCCATTCATGTCATGTGTCTGGCCTTATCGTTACACACAGATTTGACATTTTGCTAGAAAATCTTTATGCACATAGCCGTCAATCTTTTCAATTTTCGGTAGAGAAAAGGAAATAGGCATTTTTCTGTATGTGCAGTTATATCAGAGAGGGGATTACAGCAAGTGTAGATGTATATGATGTCATTGGGACAGGTACACATCGTATCATCATCCTTTCCAGCATGACTTCAGCAAACTCAACAGGGGGGATCATTTTTGCCACGATGCAAAGCATAGTGACCATTACATGTGTATAACCCCATCCAGGGCTCTTCTGTTGTCAAAAATGTGATTCTGCTCCTGTACTACAGGTCACGGGAAAAAATGAGCATGCAAACCTGCAAAAAAGCCCCTAAATCTCCATGCTGTTCTCACACTAGGCTGGCCATAGACAAATTGAAAATCAAATTTAAATTCTTGGTTGTTTCTTTGCATCATCAGTGTGCCAGCTGCGACATGCGATTTTAATGTCACAATCAAAATTGCCTGATCCAACATGCTGGATTTTGTTTCAAAATACGAAACAAATGATAGCACAATTGTGTGAGCCATTTCCCTTTTTTCAATCCACAGAGCATTCAGTTTTCGACTTTTCTATGGCCTGCCTTTTTAGGCCTCACGCACACTGGATGCTTTGGCCATCTCACCTAGACGCTTTTCCTTCTGGCAGTGGCATTTTGGCAAAAAAAGCAACTGATACTTGTAAATGTGTGTAACACATTTAGGTGCGTCAATCCCTTGGGCTGTAATTCATTTTATTGGTCAGAATAATAGTTTATTCTGTCCACTAAAATTAATTAACGCTCGAGCGCTAAACACACCCTAGCGTTTTTTTTTCTGCCTCCAAAAACCCGTCTCGAAACCCCTCTAAATGCCTATGTGTGTATGGACACATAGGCTAACATGTAGGGCTATTTAGAGGCACAAAAAAGAAATATAAACACTAGATGTCCCAAAGAACAGCATTAAAAACGCCCAGTGTGCATGATGCCTTAATGGTGTGAGGAGTTTATGCTTTTAATGTTTTGCTCTTTACAATGCCTAGTTTTATTTTTCAGCTAAGGGCATAGATGTGTATCTAGTCAGAAATATGAAAAAAAATCTTTATTAAAACTGATATTACTGGTTCTTTCAACACCAGAGCTTTGGTAAACCTGGGATTGTACCACACCATCTATAAAGGTGGTACATGGTATGCCTGGCTACAAGCAGGACTCCCTACACAACAATACAATAAGGTTCATTTCCATACTGCAGTAATAACCGGCATAACAAATGCTGGTCACCTGTAATTAAAGGCTTTTCTTTTAACGTGATAATCACTCCATATGCTGTACATACAATAGCTTGCTTTATTGATCTATATTGCTATCCAAAACAATTTTTATAGCTTTAGAGTAGGAAAGTGTTAGAAGCTTTTCTACTCCTATTAGATCTCTATTGCTGTCTGTGTTCCTACTGGGAAGATTCATCCTATCTGTCTTGGTGACCACTGACAATGGGACAAAAAGTAAAGGGAAATCTAAATCTGTTACAGTTGTCATTAGGACTGGATGTGAGGGCAAATCTTCAAATGGGGACACGTTTCAGTGACAGCTCTGTAAGTGGTTATTTCTGCCCACTTTAAAGATAATCCTTCTCATTTAGGCTTAGTTTGCACTTGCAACTGGAGGTGGTAAAAACAGGCAGTTGAGTCTAAGCTGCAAAGACAGCCGTATAGGGGTACATACATTCCGTGGACGCAGTGCTTTGCATTGTGGCATGGCATAAATGATCCCCACTTCATGTTAAATGGACAATACTGCAACATGGTGTTGTGGGCTTTTAGGGGTTAAAACTGGCAGTGAGGAGGTAACATATTGCCTCCACACCGCTAGCGTACCTAGCACATTTGACACCCGGAGCCCACCTTTTTTTTTTACATTCCCCCCTCAAGATACAAACGATATGGAGAAATATAATGGCACGTGCCACATTGTAGGTATGACCTAACCCATCAGTACAGATCCCCCCAACACAAACCCCTCAGTAGACTCCCTGTCTAACACAGACCAACCCCCCCCCCCTTCAGCAAAGACTCCTCAGCACTGACAGATACCTCAGCACTGTCCCTCAGTATAGAATCCCCTCCCCCCTCAGCACAGACTGACCCTACCTCCCCAGCACAGGCTGCCCCCAGCACAGGCTGACCCCTCAGTGAAGACTGAATGCCCCCAGCACAGGCTAACCCCTCCAGTACAAACCACTCAATACAAAAAAAAGCTCCCCTTCCTACCCAGAACAAACCTGACTGTACTGCCTCCCCCCCCCCCTCACATTAATAAATGCCCCCCCAGTACAGACAACCTCCACTCCCCAGTGCAGAAAACCTCTCACCTCCTAAGTAAAACACCCCTCATCCCCCGCCCCAAGAACAGACATCACCCTCCCTACCTACACACTCTCAGCAGATTACAGCGGTAGTAAGGAGAAGCCTGGAGCAGTGGAGAAGAGTGATGGACTGTGCAGGGTAGGGAACTTCCTCTCACACTGAGTTCTTCCTCTCACTAAAACACTAGAGGTGCCATGGCTGCCTGACAATTTTTTTCACAGTGTCCCCAGTGGGGCCACACCCTCATTAGCACCCCACTGCTCCACACCTACCTAGCCA